TGGGCACGGCTGCTCCCTGGGCAGAGGTGGTGTCCTCGTACCCCACGGTGCCTGGGGCTGGAAGTGGGATACGAGAGCACCAAGGGAGGTGGAGCAGGGCGGGCAGGGGATGCGCCTCACCTGCTCTCACGTCTGTGCCCAAACCACCTGCACAACTCCACTGGAGTCAGCAAGGAGCCAGAGGGCCTTGAGCATCTGTGCAGGTGGAACAAGTGGGAATGGCCTCGTTGGGAAAGGTGTTCAATGCTGTAACTTTGAATATTGGGGATACTGGAGCTACGAAAATGTAGCTTTTTTTTCCGTAGCAAAATATTGTATTTGTTTTGAAATGTGTGTTAAGCGACATGACATTGATGTACAATAGCACAAAAATTGCCTAAGACATGAACAGAAAAACAAGGGATTTTAGGATTAAAAAAAATGAAGGAATGTGACTTCAACCCTGTCTTAACTATAGTAAATCACAATGCAGTAGAAGAGTTTATTATATAGCATGTGTAGAAGTAGTTCTAACTAGGGGAGCGCCAACCAATATTTTCAGTATCTTGGCTCTGCAAATTTGACACCTTATTTTTTGCATACTGGAATATGTTTTTGGGATTATGAATATCTTTAAAAACTGTTTTAGAAAAAGTTTTTATTTTTACTGCTCATTATATTTGGATTCCATTTTACCAGACATCGGGCTTGTTCCCTTATCTTTGAATTGACATTGGTCTCAGTGGGAGCAAAACCAGATTTAAATTTTGTCGGATTTCTACTATGAATTTGCTGTCTTGCAGTCTCAAATTTCTTCTGAAAAGCCAGAATGTATAAATGTGTGTGAAACAATAACCTCCCACACTTCAGATCTTTACTTAAGAATTGCACATAAGGAACATAATGTATGTCAGGCTCATTAGAGGAAGGGTTTGCTATATATTTTTTTTAATCCTGAAATACATTTGGTATTTGTGTATTTCTAGACAAAAGTGTTACAAAAATGACAGACTGGTCACCAATGGAACCAAAACATTGTGTAGATGATGTTTTTGTGTTAGGAAAAGTCTACTCTTTTTTTTTTTCTGCTCCAGAATGAATGCACATATCAAATGTACCTTCCTATTGTCATTCATGCATTGTTTGCAGTCTGCTCATTCAAAACCAGCAGGGTGGTTTTCATAAATGAGACACTGAAAGGTGGTTTTATCCTGTGTCTCACATTTATGCCAAAAAGGCATTTTCATTTTCTCCAAATCCTAAAAGGTGCTGAAAGATTTTTAACTTGAATTAAAACTAAAGAGTATGTAATTGGGAGGTTTTTATTATGCAACTAAATGCTACAGATACAGTGAAATGCCACTTATTTTTGCAACTTTCTTGAAGACTTTTCATTATTTTCTTCACTTTTCTTCAAAGAGTCTTAATTTCAGTAACTTTGCATCTTTATCTGAAGAGCTCTAATTTATAATATTCATGCACTAGCTTTGTATTCTTCACTGCACTTTCATATTCTTGTGTTACCTGCCCGTATTATGGTTGCAAGTTTATGTGAAAATGACTTGAATAAAATGTTTCAAGCGTTCTGCTTGTCGAAGTATTGCACTTACTGCACAGGCCAGATCCATCCCTCAGTGAGAAGGCTTCAGTTAAGGTTGTTATGTATGTGTGAAAATGAAGAAAATTCTGTCTTGCTGACGTGGTCTCAGAAAAAATATGACAAGAAGGTAGAAACAAAAAAATAAAAATTCAAAGCATGATAAACTACCCCCCCCACTACAAAAAGGATTAAGGTGTCAAAGCTTAACAGAAGGAGGCATATGGTTCATCTGGACACACGATTTCCTTACCGTATCTGTCTTGGTAAAAACAGGAACTTAAAAAGCACTTTCAGAATTTCTGCTCCAAAAACTAAGCTTTCACAGAAAGAACACTTGAGCAGTACATGGTGGGAAGTCTGTGTACCTCTAGAAAACTGACTAACAGATTAAACATGCAGTTATTCCAAACACATTTTATCCTGTTATTTACACTCTCTGAGTACAAGCCAGAGTCCTGCTGCCTCTTCGATCTGTATGCTGAACTGATGAAACGGTCTGAGTTGTGAAGCATCTCTTGACCCTTCACTGAGGGACTACTACAGAAGAGAATAGTTGAAAAGAGACTTGGAGTCTAAATAGTTTAATAGTTAAAAAGTGTCTTATTGGAGACTCTTTCCTATTGGAAGTCATCAAGCACACAATTATCAACTAATTGGCACTCTTGGCTTCATGCCAATGGAGACAAAACCAGTGTAATATCTTTTAAAATTCATAAAAGTAGAATTATTTCAGATAAAACCCTCTTTGTGTAATGTTTGTCTATTTAAAAAGTATTTCCTATCCTACTACTAATTAGAGCTAAGAACTTCAAACTCAGAATTTCTCCAAGTGCTATTCCTAGAGTACAGAACCTGGAGAGGATCAACTTCTGTGCAAATACAAAAATGCAACAAAAATGGCATGTGATAATTGCAGAAAGCACATTCAAATCTATTGAAAATAAAGCAACTCCTAGTTCCCACATACCTTCTACCCCCATACTGCTATCTCATTTTCACATTGCATCACAAAATGATCTGCCACCAGCAGATCTACCACCATTCACAAAGCAGCTCAACACTTTTGCTCCAGAAAGTATTGCTGTAACTGAATTTTCATTCAAGCCCCTTTTTTCCTGATCTAACAATTCTAAAAAAAACTGATTAAAGAAGTATTTACACCTCTTTGGAAGTCTACAGAATGGGCCCGTCAATAACACACCTGTTGGCTATTAAAAAACCCCAAAAATCACATTTAAACTACTGATGACTGTCTTAAAAGATACTGAAAAAATCTGAGAAGGATTTGTTGGTAAGCTTGAAGTGAAAAAATTGTGCACCTGAAGCAGCCTAGTAGTATCTGACAGTACTAGCCTGGCTAAAGATATTTCTTCTACGGTATGGTACTGAACGGAAAAGCATGGTTCTCAACATTTAAAAATCTAATAATCACAGAAAGAAATAACTTCCCATGTCACTATAAAAATAAATTGCTAGTACTTTGTGAGAGGCCTCTGTCTAAACAGTGCCACAGATAAGATGTAAGTTAAAATCACATATATGCTGAAAATGTTGTTATAATGAAGAGAAAATGTTCTAAACTTTATCAACAACCTCCAGGCAAGTTCACCGGGTTTATCAGTTCATAAACAAATCACCCAGTTACACGTAAAAGATATTATCAAGCCTCCACCATCACTACTCATTTGTATAATGTATTAAGGCTGTGCTCCAGGTGAGTCACTAAGCACCAGCAGAAAGTAGCAGTAACCCATTAGAATATGAAGTAATGCCAGTATCCTAATCTCTCTCATTCATGTTCAGTGTATGTTATCTTTTTTCTTTTCTTTAAAGTAAGAGCTCAGAATATTTTGGGAAAAAAAAAAAAGGGATGTTTTGATAAGTCAGGCTTCCTTCAGGGAGAATTCTGTGGCCACAAATTACAGCTGTAATAATGCAGTAAGAAACTTGCTCTAATGCCAAGATCAACCAATGCTCCTAGATCTTTTAAGCACATGCAAAAAAGCACTTTAGAACATTGGCTCCTTGAAGTCTTGAAGTTTTTTTTCAAACTATTTGCAAGCTTTAAATTTTTGATCCTTAAATAGGGCAGTCATCTGCTAAAAGAAAGCTAAGCAGTCCATGAAAAACTTACCACTGATGACACCTACCAAAAGACATTTCTCTTGCCTTACACTGGAAGCAGAGAAGTCACATACCAAACCTTTGTTTGTTGTGTTATTCATCTAGGATTGATTTACTTATTGTATTTAAAGCTTTAAAGATTAACATTTGCACCTGAAATCTTGAAGTTTGTAGAAAGCAGGCAAATGCATGGCTTTTTCTGTGAAATACAATCCTACAAAATAACAGTAAACAAGTTTCTGTGCTTTACTTTGAAGCTTTTCGCCTTCAATAATGTTCCATACGGTACAGTGAAAATAACAGCAACAAAACCACTCTGAAATGAAAGGTGGTTTGAATTTCTCATTCCTCTGGGAGGTAATGCCATTAAAGACATTATTACACGTACTGACATTTACACACAAAAAAAAGCCTAAACCATGCCTAAATATTAATACAGAACAGATCAACTTGAAGGTTTAGTCTTCAAGAACTTAACACAAGATGGGACGTGTATAATTAGTATTATCTGTGCTTAGTCCAGGGCAAGGATCCTCATACTGCTGGCAACATTTCCTAATGCAGCCCAGGGGCCTGATGGCTTTGGCTGAGACACAGAAAAAGACTAAGCTTTTTCAGACTGTATGTAGGAAGGCCATCTACAACTTAAGGAATGACATATTCTACAAGTTTCCAGAGATTTAAGAGCAGACAAACCTGAAGACAGGAAATTGATCAAGGATTATTAAACACCATAAGCTACAATATCACAAGATGTCACTGAGCTGTAAAACTGGAAGCTTGAAGAGATGGATGTTGCATGATGCATCACTGTGTGCTCCCTCTGTCCTTAAAGCATACCTTTCTGACTACTTACAAAGATCCTGGGTTAGATGGGCCTCTGGGGTGATGCAGGGCTTTCCTCAGGCATCTCAAAATGCTACATGAATAGTACAATCCAGTCATTTACCAAGCTTATTAATTAATTTGATTATGAAAGGTAACTATATTAATATAAACAACACTATTAAAGACTAATTACACATTCAGAATTTCTTTCAATTAGGTAGTAGAAGAAGCACCTGAAGAAGTATTCAATGAATTTTTTGTCGTATTCTAATCAGATGAACTCCCAGTGTCAAACTGGCACTTAAAAGTCAAATGTTTCTTGGTGTACAAAGTTTTTGCATGTTTTCACATTCTTTCAGAAAGTGCAAGACACACATGTTGAAGAATCCAGACATAACTACCAGAACAAAGTATTAAAGACACCTCTTCCTTTCCTCAAATTGCCAGTATAATCAGAGGACAGAGATCACAATTTAAAAGAACAATATTTTATTCTCTCCAGAAATTTCCATATTATGCTTAAAACACATTGACTTTTCCAGCTACCCGATACACTGATGAATTTATGAAGTCTTCAAGTTTAAGAATCTTTTACTTTGTCTTAGTTGAGATACAATATAGAACCTTTCTTTTGACAACCAAACTCTCATATAAAGTAAATTTTTTTACATACAAAAAAAACCCCTTACAAAGCCCCCTCCAAAGATTCTGTACTATTCCTACAGAGCACAAATTATGTTCCTAAAAACCCTTTATGCACGTCAGGGTATGTTTCATGAATGGTGGCACTACATAATGGGACTTATGAACCAGCACCAAATGGCCATACATTAATCAACAGACAGCACAAACAATGGATGAAACAATCTTGATGTTCTACGATGGTAAATAATAGTTGCAAATTTGTAGATTAATAATAGTTGCAATTTTGTGGGTTGCAAATGTTATGGACAGTATAACAAAGATGTTCAAACAGCAGTTGCAGAAAATTTTTTTTTAGAACCTCCATTTACATATAGTCTAGTCATCAAATTTAATCTTTTTCCCCTGGAATGCTGTAATTTGAGACATCTGCTCCCTGCGTCGCCTGCTTGCTTCCCATGAAGGATGAAGAGGCTGCTCCAAAGGTGCTTTCTTAGTGTTGCATGTAATTTCCCCCGAAGCTTTTGCAAATGGTTTCTTCTTCTTGAGCTTTGTTTCATTTTTAAGAAAACCTGTGCAAGTACAAAATAAAACATTAACTACATCAAGAACCTTAATAAAAGTATGCAAACTACCTTGGGATTGCAGATATTTTCAAAAATTTCATAATGAGCCATGGAGAATACAGTCATCTGAATATTCACAGCAAGATTTCTTCATCTTGCAGCCTGATAAATTGCCACTCAGTAGGCTGCAGACAGTTAAGATTTATTAATACTGACTACACTCTAAATTTGTGTAGACAAACATTCAGCACAATGTAAACTTTTTTCTTCACAATAAACCAATGACTGTTACACAATGTAACTCAATATGACTGGAATTATATCCTTAGTCCAATGAACTCCAAAATAGTACCACAGAAGATAAACTGAATAAAATATCCCATATTCAGGAGCTAGTGAAGAAATTACATGTGAGATAAGGTCCTAATTACATATAACAATCTGTTACCTTTACCTGTGCACAAGTAATGCTAACTGCTTGACAGACAGAAAAGCACTTGCCAGTGTAAACCTTATGTTATGTATTTCAAATATGAGAAAATAGAAAATAGCAGACAATATCCACAGATTAAAATGAAAGCTGAACAGTTTGACCATTTTAACAACAAGTGTTAAAATATGTGCCACAAACTTGAAAAGAAACAAATACATCCCATCACGAATAGACTGCAGAGGCAACAAAATTTCAAAACGTTTTTTCTCTCCTAATTTTACCAGGTTAAGTAATACATACTTGTTCTTTCCTTTTTGACAGGCTGGTCTTTAGAATTTCTAAAAAACAAAAAGAGAAATTAAGATTTTGAAATAAAATTGTAAGATTACAAACACCTGTGAATAAAGAATCATCATCATCAAAACAGTAATGGAATAACTTCAAACATAACATGCAAGCTTCTTCAATATTGCTCCACCCATGTTAATAAAGAAGTAGAAAGAGAATTATTCAGAAGTGATTGAATTTGCATTTAGATCTAGTTAGGCAACTGTGAATATAAAAAATTGTCAAGAAAGCTTAAGAAGACTAGTGAGTAGTTTCTGTGAAAATGTTCTAAGATTTAACGGGCTGAAATTCTCTTTGTTTAGTAAGTAAATTCTCTTTGTTTACTAGAAATCACAACTAGAAATCACATTTTCATTGCCATGAAGGAGGGAAGGAATGGAGAACATTAACATGGGGAAGAGGTTTACCTTCTGTTCTGAGATTTCTGATTGGTGGTAGACAAAGAACTGCAGAACACTGACTCCAGCTTGCTTGCTTTTGCAAGTGGCTTTCTCTCTTCCATGATCAAATCCTGTGCTGTCCCAGACACTCTGCTCTTCTCTGTTTTCATTACATTTTTCTGAACACTATCCTTTTCTTTTGTTGAAGAAAAATTATTAACTGCTGCTACTTTTTTCTTCTTTTTTACTTTTCCAATGAAGAAATCATCATTGCTGTCACTGTCAGAATCTGATGACTCATTATAAAACCTCTCTTCAGTACTGTCATCAAAGTATTCCTTTTCATTGGGATGCTCTTGATCACTATCATCAATTATTTCTTTTATTTCATTTAATTTGTTCATACTCATATTTTCTTTCCTTTTTTGATAGTCAAGCTTCTTTCCTACTTTGTTTTGAGTAACTGTTTGCATTTTTCCTGCCTGAAATGAAGGTTCCTCTGGAGCATTTGCTCTCTCCATTTCCAGAGTCTTCTGCTCAGATTTGCTCTCACAGAGCTCTTCAACCACTTCATCAGTTTCTACTTTCATGCCTGGTTTTGTTTTGTGTTCACATCTTTGCTGTTTTTGAGGCCGCTTACAAGCTTGGTCATCCAAGTTGTTATTGGAATGTTTTGCTGATTTAGGCTGTTCTTCTGACTGATCCTTCTTCATAGGAGTGGCTTTGTCTGGGTTCTTTCTTGCATCCTTAAAAGCTTTTACAGCAGCTGTACAAGGGGCAGAAAAATATTTTGTTGCAGCTACATATGAATTATTTTTATATAATAAATAATTTTTGCAACTTATATGTGTTGTATTGAGTATATTTTGAATGTCCTTATGAAGTATTTACCAAACACATGGGACAAGAGATACCTTAGAATACAGTATCAACAAAAGTGAAGGAAAAACCCTGAAAATATTATCAATAAATACACTATGAAGTGGGTTAAACCAGAACTTCTCTTTCAAAAATAATCTACAGCTGATAATCATGCTCACTTAGTGTACACTTATACACACATGTACACTTTGTGTGTAAAACTGCAAACTAATACTAATTTGTTAATATATAATTAAATGGGTATTTGATATGCTCTGTTATTAATGAAGTAACTTTGTGACATTACTACTAGGACTTTACTATTTGTAACATTAATTTTAGGTGGAAAATTTCAGTTTCAAGAGAAATCCTAAATAACCAGGAAAGATACCCTAAGGATTCTGAGGACAGTTTTCAGGGAAAATTAAGAAAGTGATTTGTAAAACCTTGTAGATGCCTTTGAAAATCCAGTTGTAATAATCCATTTGAATATCCAGTTGTAATAATCCATTTATGTTCCTACTTAATTTAGAAACACTCCATTACATCTATTTGATTTTTAGAATTTCCATTATAAGCTCTGTTTGTTCGACACCCTATATTAAATAAATGTCATATTGTATGCTATCACATATAAAGCCATATAAATTTCAAGCCATATAAATGGTTTGAAGCTTGTGGCTTGGTTCACTGCAGCTAGTTAGCCCAATTACAGAAGCTTTTAGTTTTTGTGGGTTTTTTACTTTTATTCACGTCAGAGATACGCATGAACAAGGTAACACACCGTAAGCTATACATGAAATAAACAATTCAATAAAATGTTTCATACCTTTAAGCTCAACAAATCTGGGCTTCAAGGTGGGGTGTGTTGCAAGTCTTGCCATGGCTCGCTCAGCTGCAGTACAGTTTGGCTGCACAAGAAAAATTCAAGGGCATGAAGTCAACAGAACAGTCAGCTTACCCAGGTCTGTGTCAGTATGCTACAATGCATACTACTGATGTGATCCTCACCAGGAACTGAGCAAGAGGAAAGCTTATGACACTAACAAGTATTTTATTTTTCATGTATTACCATCATTCTAAACACATTAAAATCTTCCTACCTAAACATTGACAGAAACGTAGCAGATACACAACATGTGATAGTTCTCAGGTACTGAACAAGGATAACACAATTTATGTTCTCTTTAAAGCATAACAGACACTGATTTTACACTTACTATTTTGTACAAGAGCAAAGAAAATGAATGAACTCACTGAATAAAGAACATCATACTGGTAGAAAGCATTCTACTTGAAGGAATGCAACAGCTTACAAGAATTACAGTATTGATCCCATAAAAGTTGGCAAAATGACGTAGCAGATACTGAAAGAATACACATAAATCATTGAAAGGCAAGGTCTAACTTGGCCATAAAGACAAATAATTTTAAATTTGATGTGGTAGAATACTGGAACTCTGCAAAGTGATTCAAAGAAGAAATATTCTTGCTTCAATTAAAAAAAAAAAAAACAGACAAGAAGAAATTGCTTCTATTCTGACTTCCTCTTTTTGATACTGGAAATCACAGGTGACACATTGCAAAAGCTCTCATTTTCAGATTCTTGTCATTACTCTGCTTGAAAAACAAAATGAATGGTATCTAAGACTTTTCCAAAGACAGTTCTATCTTCCTTTGGTTTTTTTTCCCTGTGTGACTGTTTGTTTGTTTCCTTTTTTCTTATTTTCTTTTTTGAAAGGAGGAAAAGTAGGTCCAACAGATTTGTAAAACATACCATTATCAGGAAAATTTCTTAAAAGCTTGCAGTGGAATTCTCTGGGAGATAGTGGAAAACAGATACAAAAGACACACCTTTCTTTTTTCCTCCCAGTGCTATTGCAACGGGTACATATTCAAATAGTTTCTGCGATTTCAGCTTTGTGCTATCACAGCAGAAATATCACAGCAGAAGCCACCAGGACCAACAGAGGATGATATTCATAAAGAACCAGACAAGTGGCTGGTGACCCAACCTGAGCTGGTCTTGGTGCCATCAACTCAACAGAGCATGCTGCCTCTCCTGTCCTAAACAATCGCCACAGCAGATGGAGCCCAAGCCACAGGTGTTATCTGTAGATAACAAGGAGTAGAAGTGGTACTGGCTCTCTCCTGCCATGGAGTTAACATGCCTCATAGTAGACAACACGGTGCTCTGCTTTGAATTTGTGACTGAAACATTTTAGAGTTGGTAACACATCAGTGTTTTAGTTACTGTTGGGCAGTGCTTGTACAGCATCAAGGCTTTCTCTGTTTCTTGGTCTGCCCCTACCATAGGCAAGGAAAACCCCTTGTACAGCTGAGCCAAATGGACCAAAAGGATATTGAGTCCTTTTCAAGTCATGCTTAGCAATAAAAGCTTGGGGTAACAAAAAGGTATGGGGAGATGTTTGTGGTTATGACATTTATCTTCCCAAGTAACCATTATGTGAAGTGAAACCCTATTCTCTGGGATGTGGCTAAACATCTGACTGGTGATGGGAAGTGGTGAATAAATTCCTTCTTCTCCTTTTCTTGCACATACAGCTTTGATTTCCTCCTTGAACTACCCTCATCTTAAGACAGAAGTTTTTCTGCTCTTGGGATGCTCTCCCCATCCCACAGGGGCCGGGTGAGTGAGCAGCTGCTGGGTGCTCAGCTGCTGGCTGGGGTCAAACCACCATGACACACACAATACCCAACACATCAGCAATTCACACGTAAAGCAGCTGATGTGATCCATGTAAGACTGCTCAGTGGTGAATGTTACTTGTTTGCATGTCCATATTCTTCCAGCAGAACCATGTGACTATAAACAGTTATATATCCAGCGCACAGAGAGAGATGGGACAATTCCCACCAGCTGTTAGTGCAAGAGAGTCACTCTCAGTGCTTTGCTCTGAAGGAAACAGAGCAAAAGAAGGCATTACAAATAAACCAGAGTCAGTACCTCTAAATGCAGAAACATTTAATTGGTTTGCCAGCCATAAATCTTCCTCCTCAACCAGTGGAAAGCAAATCCCATTTTGTAATTATTTTGCGATAGTTTTAGAGCTTATAAAATATACTCTGCAGTCAGCCATATTTCAAGTTTGAAGTGTAGAGCATCTGGGAATTCTAGTACTTTCCTTTCCTCTCAAGTATCTGCTACTACAACATTATTTCTTTAGGTCAAGAAAAACTGGAAAAATGTTTTTTCTGAAGATTGTCTCTAGAACTATGAATACAGGCTAGAGTGGACAGGTCAAAAGATGGGTCAATTTCCAAGGGCCACAGGCTGGCTTTTTTCAGGCTAGTTTAGCTCTAAGAACTTGAACTCTGAATTTTGATCCTCATGTGACAGTGCTGCATGCTGCCACCAGATTCTTGGGACAGAAAGCTCGCATTTCTGAAGATCATATGCTATTTTCTTTGGAGATTTTCCTATAGCTGGAAAATCTATTTCTGAACTTAATTAATACACTTTTTCCCTCAGCTACTTCCTGTGGGTTTTGAAAGAATATACCATGACGTTCAGAAAGCAGCAGCAGCAGCTTCTGTGCAACATCTGGTGTCTTTTAATTCAAGTATTTATAGAAAGGCTTTAAGCATGTATAGGCCAATCCATATGGCATAACCACATTTTTTTCTTTAGAGCAAAATACTTCACAAACACTACTCACACTGATAGCCACCAGCTAACAAACACACAATATGATATTCACATTCCCTCAAATTTCTTATTTTTCTGTGTATGGGTTTTTTGGTTTTGCTTTGGTTTGGGATTTTTTTTTGCACAGCCCACACTCAATTTATTTTCCCTCAAGTATTTTCCAGTATATAAAATGCTTTAGAAATATAGACAATACAGAAAAAAAACTTAACAAAAGGAATCTGTCTTTACGATCAAGAACACTTTTACCCATCCTTCCCATCCCTTGGACATTTAATTAGATACTAAAATTGTACACCTTTTTTCTGACATACTTCTGCTACTTCTTGCATTATTTTGTACTACTTATTTTTTATGCAAGAATGTGCTAGTACTTTCTACAGGAATGTTCTTCCTCCTTCAGTGCAACTGAGGCTCTGTAAAGTGAACAAAGCAACAGAGCAGTCTATAGTCACACTCTGTAGTGAGAAATTTTAACTTTCAATTAAATTAAACCCCAGCTGGTTGAGGCTGGGGTAGAGCTTATTTCCTTCACAGTGGCTGGCATGGGGCTGTGTTTTGGATTTGTGCTGGACACAGGGCTGATAACACAGAGATGTTTTGTTACTGCTGAGCAGGGCTTACACAGAGCCAAGGCCTTTTCTGCTGTTTGTGCTGCCACACTGGTGAGGGAGTTGGGAGTTCATGGGAGCTTGGGAGACACAGCTGGGACAGGTGACCCAAACTGACCGAAGGGATTTCCAGACCCTGTGACATCATGCTCAGAACCTGAAGTGGGGGATAAAAGGAGGAACTGGGGGAACATTTGGAGTGATGGTGTTTGTTTTTCCAAGTCACTGTCACGTCCGATAGGGCCCTGCTCTCCTGGAGATGGCTGAACACCTGCCTGGCACAGGAAGCACTGCATTCATTTCTTGTTTTGCTTTCCTATTGTGCACAGCTTTTGCTTTCTCTATTAAACTGCCTTTATCTTAGCCCATGAGTTTTCTAGCTTTTATCCTTCCAATTCTCTCCCTGATCCTGCTGGTGCAGAAGTGAGCGAGCAGCTGTCTGGAATTTGCTGTTGGCTACAGTCAAACCACCTGAGACAGCCTCCTAAAATTCTATCTTGGTAAATAATACATTATTTCTGTAAATAATACTAAAAACATCTATTATCAAACACACGTGTAAGCCCCACATAAGAGAGACAAACTTGGTAAATAGTGGCAATGACTGTGAAGAGAATGGAAGTTACAAACTTGCAAAGATAAAAGCAGATTCCCAATGCAAGTTCTGAGATTCGCTGGAACAGGTCAGAAGTTTGGAGTGGCTCTGAGAGTTGGCACCACGGGGTAAAAAGAAGGAGTAGTGTGATGTATACATCAGGCTGAAGCTGGGTGGGTAGAACTTGTTTCATACAACGCAGGTAATAAAGTGAGAATGAGAAAGTGAGTGTCTCAAGGCAGATGTGATTGCAGGAGCTGAATGGTATGCCTTGCTATTAAGCCTGAGACAGTAGAGCTTCAGGATGAATCAAAGGGCAGAAACCTGTGATCGATCTGAGAACATGAAATGTAGACTTTTGACCATTGTTATATTCTGAACAATCTTTCTGTTCCAGGGTACTTTTGTCTGTACCCTCTCTGCTATAGTTATAGTCAATAATAGGAAAGAGGTCATATTCTGTTCTTCAACTGACTTTTGCACAAAAGAGAACTGCCTCATTACATATCTCATCAGAAACAAGACTGTTATTAGAAGCTTATACTACTATAAGGACAACAACTAGAGTTCCACCTGGGTGAGAGTGCTACCAAACTGGTAATGCTCGGCGGCTCTGCATCTGTCATTAGTCAGTTATTTAAAACAATGACATTCAAATGGAGACAGTAAGAAACCCCACTGGGAAGCAAGCAGTACATGGAAAAAACATTATAGAGAAACCAACCTTGGGGAATGTCATACTAGTTTTTAAACTATCTAGAAGTGCAGTTTAATTTCAAATGTTAACAACACCCTGGATTTAAGATAAAGGAAAGAAAAAAGGGCCAATACTAACTAGAGTAAGCATAAAAAAGGTAACACCCAATTCTGGGCCAAAGATGTCATTGCAACATCCTTTATTAGCAGCTTGGGAGAAGATGTCTCTATTAAAAAACAGCACAAAGCAACCACACTAGAAAACCTGTTAATCCATACATTTTTTACAAAATTCTAACTAGTTACAGCTGTCCTTCAGAACAGCAGATGTGATTAATG